TCAAGTTTTCCTTTCTCTTTGGAGTGTTACAAGCTGATTGTGCATAGATAAGATCCCTGAAGTTACAAACACTAAAGTCTCAAAACCAAAGAGATATTCTTCATCAAAGTTAAGACTCTGCCACGCCCCCCTAAAACGGCTCGTTCTAATACGCCCCCACATCTACCTCACTACTGCCGCGACTCCTGAAAAACGTTTTCATTCCGCGGCGCCCCATCAAGCTCTCGCTGGATCCGCTCCTCTGCTATCAACGAGAGGAACGTCTGTACTTTTTCAACAGACAACAAACAGCCACTTTTTGGTTGTTAAAAAAGGTGCGCTCATTCAAAACAGTTGAGTTCGATCCTTCGCTGGCTGTGCTGATTTAAATCTAGCGGTTCTGTTGTGTCTCGTGTCGCAAGTTCAGTGACGCAGGTAGTGACGATTCTCTCTCCGGCCAATCTGTGATCAGCAGAGTTTACACGTCACGTTTTGGTAACGGTACGATTCGCTTGGTACCTCAACCAAGGTGGTACTAAAAAAAAGTACCAGGTACCGTACCCAGTGGAAAACCCCCCAAAAGTGAACTGTACCGAGCCGTGCCGTACCATGCAGTGGAAAAGCGCCATAAATGCCATGAGTGAGATATATAATTTTATTATTTTCTTTAGCTTAGGCTACTGACCGTTATGGATTAGTGTAGCCTGCATTAAAAAGTCTTTAACATAAAACAACAGGATAAAAATATAGTTGATGACTAGACAATCATTTCATGACTCTAGACACTTCTTTGTGAAGACAGTGGCATAATACAGTGAAATAAAATGTTCTTTAGCCATATAAATACAGTTGTCATATGCGTGGGTAAAATTTACCTGCTGGCGCTTTTAGGTATACAGCTACCTCTGGCGGTTCTAGTGTTAATTGATTAGACATCCATTTTTATTTTTACATAAACCATTAAAACATAATTTAGAACTGTTGATTGTGCACAACAACAGCTGGAATTAGTGTAGTCCAATTTTAAGAAACTTTTGAGCCAATTTCCTTTAATGAATCAGCAAAAAAAAAAAAGGTTTAAGAATCTGTCTGGACACTTTGCTTTGTTTTGAATCCGTCTAATGAATCCATCAGAGTGGTTCTTCATTCACAGCAGTTACTTTCACATTTCCATCTCAAAATGAATCAATATTTGTTACTTTTTGATTATTTTAGTTTCCCACGAATCAATATAATTTCTGTCTGGTAAATAAAAAGATTCTAGAATCAGTCTTGAACTCTTACCTTTTTGTTTTGAATTAGTCTAATGACTCGTTCTCAATAAATCAGAGTGGTTTCTGATTCACTGAACTGCAGTTACTTTCAGATGTCTAATTCAATGAATCAAGGTTTTTGTATGCTTCATTCAAATGAATCAGTATAATTTCTGGCTGATAGATACACATTTAGAGCAGCGTTTTGTTGTAATAAATTGTAGGCTTCTTTAATAAAATCATCAAAGTGTTACAGAAGTAAATTTTACCATAAAATATAATAGAGCAAGATAATTGATGTTTTGTTGTATCTACAAGAGTTTGATTGCATTTGGTTGTTTGTGTCCCAGCTCATGGAGGTTACAGGCAAAAATCAGGATGAGTGTATGGTGGCCCTTCACGACTGCAATGGGGACGTCAACAGGGCTATCAACTTCCTGCTGGAGGAGGTCACTGTCAAGGTGTGCGCTTGCTGCAGTTGATCCTGTTTGACTCGTTTCTGATTCAGTGTCTTTTGTAATTGCATTAATTATGCTAGAAAACTAGACTTGAGTTGAAATAATGTCATTGAGCTTTTCCAGCTTTGCTAGCCTGCCATACTAGTTAAGCTGCTAGAGGTCTTTGAGGTTAATATACCCATGTTTCTGATTCTGTTGAATTATTCTCATGCTTGCACAGGACTCATGGGAGACAGTTGGCAAGAAGAAAAATGTTGGAAAAGAAGGGACAGCTCCAGAGAGCAGGGAGAAGAGAGGAGAAAAGGAAGGCAGAGGCCGCGGGGGTCCAAACAGACGTGGCCGAGGGGCCAGCCACAACCAGGAAGGTGTGTCTTTCTGTGCGTTTACTGTGTACATGTCCTAACTTGCATGTATAGATTGTGTTTTTGCCTGAGGCAAGGTGTCCAATTAGACTGCATAATAATGTTGTCGTGGTGATTGGAGATCAAGTGTATAGGCATTCACTGCTCTTGGACTTTTTATTTAAAAATTTTTAGGGCGGTCGGAAGAGAACGGGTTTGATTCAGCTCCAGGAGAGAGAGGAGACCGTGGGCGCAGAGGAAGAGGGAGAGGTCAGTGCATTATATATGCACTCCAAGACATTACTGCTTACTAATACACTGCTGCCCCCAGAAGTGGTTTTTAAGTTGATTAGCTGCATAAAAATGAGCAGTCGATTGTTCAGAAATGTGTAAAACTAACACTACCGTTCAAAACTTTGGGATTGGTAAGATTTTTGTGTGCATGTGTTTTTGAAAGGTGTTATTCTGTTATTCTCAGCCAAGGCTGCATTTATTTGACCGAGATTTTGAAGCCCAATAAAGTGCATCCATCCATCATAAAAAGTGCTCCACATGATTCCAGGGGGTTAATAAAGGCCTTCTAAAGCAAAGCGATGTATTTGTGCAAAAAAAAAAAAAAATCCACATTTAAAACTTTATAAACCGAAATCTCTAGCTTCCGCTAATTGTCGTACACATTCATGAGAGAGTGGTGCTCCAGTGGATGACGTAGGCGCAGCATAAGCTCCGGTGAGAATATTCTAGTCTTGTGAGAACCAAGTTTTGTTTACAGCAAAGGAGAACCACGTTAAGAAGTGAATTGTTGTATAAAATTAGTTTAAGAACTGTTAATTGACAGGTTATTTGGTGAACCCAAAATGGTTCTTCTATTGCATTTTATTGGTTCTTTTTGCAACCTTTATGCAGGTTCTGCCATCTCAGACTGGGCAGGATGGGGCCTGTTCCTGTGTTGCTATTTGTGTCACTCCGAGCAATGTTTGTAGGGCAATAAATGTGACGAATGCGTTTAAAGCAGCTGCAACTTGAGAGGGGAAGATGATGAGTGAGGGAGCAAGAATGGGACAGGAAAGAGTCATCAGAAGGGGCCTGTCTTTCCTCATGTCTCTTAAAGAGGACAACGTGATAATCGTGGATGTTTGCATAAAGCTGCCTTAAAGGTACAGGAGAAAAAGGTCAGGGAAAGGGAGTTAAATGGTCAAACGTGGCATGTCAAGATTATGAACTCTTGGAAAGGAAACCAATGGAAAGGCACAAGGATTAGTAAATGCATATAAATTTTTGGCTGAACTTTTCCTTTAGATTTTCACTTGTTCTGATTGGTATTTATTTATGCTGGTATGTCGTCTCAGGTGTAGGAAGCCGAGGAAGAGGCAGAGGAGCTGGAATGAACAGGTTCTCTCAGGGAATGGGGTGAGTGTTCACACTTTTGTCTTTCCAAACCCATCACACACTCCTTCAGTGAGAAATATCTCTGTGACCATTCCAAAAAAACGTTCTTGGTCATTATTCTTACTCGCCCTCCATTGGCTTCTCTTTGACCAGTAGGACATTTAACCCTGCTGACTGCACCGGCTCTGCTGAGGCAGGGGAGGCTGGAAATGAGACTACTGAAGGAGCAGGTGAGTGCTGTTTATTGATCCGGATCCTGATTTCTTTAATAGAGCAGAATTTGCTTCTCTAATACTTTTTACTTAATCATATCTGAAGCCATTTTCAGTGTAGTATCGATGTCAGATGGGCTGGTGTTTTGTAGTATTGATTTCATGCGGCAGGGTCTGTATAGATGGAAACTCGAAATGTACTGATCCAATTTATGTAGTGCAGGTCATCCTCAAACCAAAAAGCTCAGGTGAAGTTGTAAATGAGCATAATCACTAACCAGTGGTTATGAATTTCTTAATTTAGCCCTCTGCAAAAACAGCGTTTTATCTTTACCTCACCTGTGCTTTCAGGAGCCTGGAAGGACAGTCTGGAAGATTGGGCGGCCGAAGACTGGAATGAAGATGTGAGTGATTTCATGAATGTTAAAATGAAACTAGAAAACTCGATCAAGAGATGTCAGTGTGTAATGCTCACTTCTCCATTTATCAGCTATCTGAGACCAAAGTGTTCACTGCTTCTTATGCACTTGGCTCCAAGAACCTCGCGCAGCCTGGACAGGGGTGAGTGCTTCCTGTGCTTCAGCACTTTGCAGAACAGAGCTCTTGATATACGGACGACTAGGAGTGCCACTTAAAAATAAAGAAATTGAAAGAATAATTTATTAATGAAAAGTAATTTCATTAGAAATGTAATTTAAAACACATTTTACTGTGGCTTAAAATTCACAAAATACACTTTTTTTATTAAACAAGTTAAATTTGACAAAATATTGAATAATATAAATTTTTTTATATTTAACTTTATATATTATACTATATTTTCTATATTATACTTTTATTTAGCCATTTGTCAATCAAGTTAAAATAAATGCCATTGGGTAGTTCACACATGGGAGCAGCCAATGATATGTCCAGTGGCATTTTTAAACTCTTTGCAAATTAATAGAAAAATGTTTTGTAATTTTAAATGGGTAAAATTGATCATTAAATTTTTTTTTTACATTTTAACTTAATTTAACATATTTATATATTTAACAACTATTACTGCATTTACAGTTAAACAGTTTGAAAAGTCACTTATTTATATTTGTAGTAGTACATTAATAATAGTTTTCTTTTATTTTAAAATGGCACACCTAGGATTACAATGGAATTACTTATCACTCTGTCAGACATATGTTATTACTTGTACAACTTGTTTATAGTATTTTTGGATTGGTACCTTTTAATTTGAAGTGTTGTAAGTAACTGTTGACAACTCCTGATTTGCCTTGACCACTACATCTCTACATGATAAAGAACTTGGTTTTGCTCGTTCACACTAATACAGGAAAGTAACGTAATCAGGGATGCAAACTTAACCACGTATGAGAGAACTTAAATTCTGCGATTAAGTGCCTCTAAAAGTGTTTTTCAACTTTATACAGTGTTGGTTTGGTTCAGTTACTGTGTAAAGTTAGTCAACTTTGAAACACATTTGATTCAGCTATATACAGTTCTAGAGAGGGCGATGGTGTTATTTAGATCAAGTCAGTTTTTTTTTTTTTTGCTTCATTAATTATGAATGAATATGAGTCGGCTATAAAACTACTCTACAGTTGACAAAAGTATCATTCAGTTCATTTCAGTTTGTATCCAATATTGTCAGTAGTGCAAGCTAGTGATTAAACTGATCTGTATTACATCTTCAACAAGCAGTTAAGAAGAGCAAGTGTAGACATATGTCTACCCGAGTGCTCCAAAATATTTGGCTTGCATTCAGGTATGATTCCCCTCCCTGTCTCGTTAATTTATGACTTATGTTTAGCAATTGAAGTCAAAAAAGTAAACTGTCTTACAACTGAGCATGCAGAGACAGATTAGCAGGCATATGTAGGTGCACTCTTGGAACATCCTCACTTCCTGCTTCCTGTGTTGTGGAAGCAATAGGGCAGAACTCTGGCAAAAATGTATTTGATGTTTTGCATCCTAGAGCAAAGACCTCTTTTGTAGTTGTCTGAAAGTGTTTCTCTGCTCCTCAGGATGGATCTCGGCTCTCTGTTGTCTAAGGTGGCTGAGGGCGACTCTGAGCTGGCCGGATTGGAGCCGTCATGCCCTGATACTCTCACCCAGAGTCTGGTATTCACCAACTCTCAGCAGCACACCACCCGAACACACACACACAGCTACGCATCTGCTGCTGCTGGCACTTATGCACATGCTGCATCGGTGAGAAAAACACACACATACTGGCACTGAGCACCACAGCGCTTGAACCTGCACCCAGATTTACAGGGCCAAATTCACATTCCCATCCAGGACTGTGGCTATTCATTGGATTTTAAAAAATGTGTATTTATTAAACCAGTTTTAACAATTATTTACTTAATGTACACTACCCTTCAAACGTTTTGGAGCCAGTCAGTTTTTTTTTTTTTTTTTTTTTTAAATGAGTACCTTTTATTCAACAAGGTTGCATTAAATTGCTAAAAAGTGAAATGATTTGAACTGATAAAGGTGACCGTGATAAGTGACAATTTATAAATAGATTTCTAATACATGCTGTCCATTTGAATTTTCTATATTAAAGAACAATGAAAGATAATAAAATGTTTCTTGAGCAGCAAATCAGAAGGATCATGTGACACTGAAGACTGGAGTAATGATTAGGGCTGAGTATCGATTCAGATGTCCCGATTTGATTTCGATTCACAAGCTTTCGATTCGATTCTCGATTTTTTTTTATTACATTCAGTGAATATAGTTTTAATACAAATACTATTGATATTTCTAAAAAAATTAGCCGTAAACATCAGTTTACAAATGGTGAATTAATAAAAATAAATTAAGAACCACATGCCTGCATTTTAAGCCTATTCTTTTTTTTTTTGTATAGGGTCCTTTTTTGAACAATAATAGGGCCCTATAAAATTTTTCTGGTTATCAGATGAAGGCATAAAACACTAATTTAATTTATCCTAATCAAATGAAAATTAAACCCTTTAATTTTTTGGCAAACAAAGTGCTGCACAACAGAGGTTTACTGTTAAAATTAAAACATAAACAGATGTGATTATTCCTTTAAAAATAAAGATTTATTAATATTTATTAGCAGTAGTAGCATTGAGTCTTAAGACTGCTAAATAGTAATATATTCTGACAGTAGAACGTTAAACTAAACTTTTATTTTGACGGGTTGCCGTGAAGAATTTCCAGCTGCTGTGTATGTGATATGACGGTAGATTTCTCAAATTAAACGGTAAATGCTAATGAAATGACTCTCAGAGCAGCTGGAGATGACATTCGTGTTCATATCATCATATAGTGAGACGGCAGAAGCTGAAAACACTGCGAGCGTCATTCGCGCTTTAGTATGTGTGTAGTAAACAAAAAAGTGCGCTGCACCATCCGCCATTCATTCATTGCGGAAATCATGGTGCCTTATGCGTGATATCAAATTTATAGTATTACTATAGCATTTCACCTGAGCATTGCGAATTGTGCGTATGGCCATGATAAGTGCTTAATGAATGACAGGATTTCTGTTGTAACATCGTGCAAGGTAAATAAGGGGGACTAGTGGAGAAGACTAACGATAAGATTCACGTTAATCTGATCTGGTTTTAAATGTGTGCTGAAATAAATACTGGAAAAGATCGATTCGCCGCTTTTGAGAATCGATATCGAATCGACGTCATTTTTAAAAAACGATTCATCGGAAAATCTTTTTTTTTTTTGCCCAGCCCTAATAATGATACTGAAAATTCAGCAACAATTTAAAAATATTTAAATTGTAAACCGTTATTGTATATTATGATTTTTCTCTAAAGCCTTGGTAAGCATAAAAGACTTGTCTTAAAAAAAAAAAAAAAATCATACCAACACCAAACTTTTAGCAGAATTGACACAATCGGTCACTGTTCCTTTAAAATAGCTGTGATGTTGTAAACCAATACTTCAAATTAGAGGATAAAATTAAATTGCAAAAACTGCAAATAAATCATATAGCATGCATCACTTACTACATAGCATTCTACTTATTATATAGTTTTTGTTATATGAAATGTCAAAAGTACCTGTACCAGTAAGTCTCAAACTTGATAAAATAGTGTTTTGAATGGCATATTGATTTTTGCTGTTATATCAAAATTGGTATTGAGAGTCATAAAATTTACTGACACTGCTGTTGAGTTCTAATATTTTGGTATCGTGACAACCCTACTGCTTTTCTTCTAGTCCATGCTGGGATCCAGGCTTCCCCAGAGTGATGTACAGAAAATGGAGCCAATCAGCATACCTCGAATTGCCCCTTTGTCCAATCAGGTTTCAGGGGCACTGAGCAATGGCACTGCATCTGTTGAATCTACTGCTCCGGTGCCTCTCGAAACTACCCCTGTGACCCTGAGTGAACCCAAGGAGACCCCCATTACAACAATTCACTGTAAGTACTATGCAATGCGCACTGGGGTTGCCCAGTCTGGGGTGCGTTTCCCGAAAGCAACTATGGTTGCATCGTTCCATCGTTGCCAATAGAATTCAGTGGCACTAACGACCATAGTTAGCTAGCAATGCTTATGGGAAACACCACCCCTGTACTCTGGTACATGAAGTGCACATGCAACTGGAGGTCATTGGCCATTGCATCATGTCTTGTAATCAGTGTGGTTTTACACATCCCCAATGCACTTTTACATTTTGAACAAGGTTTGACAGAGTCTGACACATGTTGGTATATGTCTTTTCTGTCTTTAGTGGACCTGAAGCCCCAACCTGACCCGTCCCCCATCCTCGGTCGTCTGACCCAGCATCAGAATGCAGCACTCCAGTCGGACCTGCCGGCTCAGGCCCGAGACCCTGCCCCACTTCCCCCACATGATGGGCCTTCCCCGACACTGAAACCCTTCTGTGAGCCTGTCATCACCACGACAGAGCCGCCACAACCCAGAACCATCAGACCACAGAGACGGAGAGCACCACCTCCCTCTAAGGTGACAAAATACTAGGGGTGGGAATGACAATCATAACTGACAAAAATAACCGTAATTTTTACCCTTCCGGTTAAATATTGCGCTGCTAACATCATAAACGGCTTTTAGTTGTCAATACTGGCAAATGACCATGGAATAAGCGGGATAATCAACGGCTTGCCGTGCATTAAAGGATTTTAGAAAAAAACTCACCACCACCATCTAGTGGACTGTAAAGAAATTGATTTTGTTATTCTACCAAATAGTATAATAAAAGGTCGATACTTGGCGTCCGTGTATCGATACAGTATTGCCGCAGAAAATATCGCGATACTATGCTGTATTGATATTTTTTTTTTACCCCACCCCTACAAAATACCCTATAGCCCCTTTTATTGTTTGTCTCTAAGTTTTGTTGTAAATGTATGCAAGCGTTAGCAGTGTGATTTAGCAGCCGTAAAAGGCTGCCGATGGTCTTCACTAGGACTGGGCAAAACAATCGATTTTTCAATTAATCATTTATGTATTTTTTTTTTTAAATGGCTTTGATTCGATATTGATTCTCAAAAGCAGTGAATCAATCGTTTCTGTTTTTTCAGCAAACATTTAACACGAGGTCTGATTACCATGAATTTTTTCATTTGTCTTCTCCACTAGATGTCGCCCTCTTATTTACCTTGCGCGATGTTACAACGTAATTTGCGTGATTTGCAATGCTCAGGTGAAATGCTGTAGTAATGCTACAAATCTGCGGAAGCATTTGACATGCATAATGCGCCATGATTTCCGCAATGAATGAATGGCAGGTGGCGCAGACGCACTGTTTTGTTGACTATGCACATACTAAAGCGTGGACGACGCGGTATTTTCAGCCTCTGCAGTCTTACTATATGATGATATGAACACACGAATATCAGAGCTCTTAGAGTCACTTCATTAGAATTTTACTGTTTAATTTGAGAAAACTACCATATCACATATACAGCAGCTGCAAGTTCTTTATGGCAACCCGTCATAATAAAAGTTTGGTTTAACGTGAAGAAACTGACACAAATATATTACTATTTAGCAGTCTTAAGACTCAGTGTAACAACAATCCTACTTCTAATAAATATTAATAAAACTTTTGGTTACACTTTATTTTAAGGTGTCCTTGTTACATATGTTATGTGTACTTACTATTATAATAACAATCAATTATGCATAATTACATGCAAGCAACCCTAAGCCAAGCCTAATCCTAAAGTAAGTAGGCCTACATGAAGTTAAATAATAATACTCAGTACTTAAACGTATAATTACACTGTAACAAGGACACCTTAAAAATAAAGTGTAACCAAACTTTTTTTAAAGGAATTATCACATTTGTTCGGTTTTCTTTTTAATTTTAACAGTAAAGCTCTGTTGTGCAGCACTTTGTTTGCCAAAAAATAAAAGGGTTTAATTTCTTTTGATTAGGATAAATGAAAATTAATGTTTTATGCCTTCATTTGATTACTAGAAAAATTAAGAAAAACATTTTATAGGGCATTATTATTTAAAAAAAATGTTTGAAAAGCAGGCCTGTGACTCATAATTTTATTAATTCACCATTTGTAAACTGTTTACTGTAGATTTTTTAGAAATATAAATAGCATTTGTATTGAAACTGTTCACTGAATGTAATCAAAAAATGGAGAATTGAATCAAGAATCGAATCACATCTTGTGTTGTGACAGACACTTTGTTTGCCAAAAACTTTAAGGAGTTAATTCAACAATTTAATTAACCACAATTTTGGTTGTTTGTTTTAAATCATAAAACACAAAATCAAGAAAAATTAAAACTGTAAACAGTATAATGGGGAAAATTTTCTAATTTGTATTAGTCTAATGACTTTTTGATCTTAATGAACAAGTAAATGTGTTTTGTTTGCCAGATCCCCTCTTCAGCAGTAGAGATGCCAGGCTCTGCTGACGTGTCCGGGCTGAATGTGCAGTTTGGTGCACTGGATTTTGGATCTGAATCCTCTGTGGAGAATCTCGACCAATCAGAAAGTAGCTGTCAGGAACCTGTGGCAGCTCCTCAAACCCAGAGCAGCCTGTACTTCAAATCCACTGTCATCAGGTCTGTCTGTCCACCTGGGTGTCTTTCATTTATACATGTTTACAAGATCTTAAAGGGATATTTCACCCAAAAATAAAAATGATTTGCTCACTCACGTCGGTCCAAATGTTTTCTGAAGAGACATGACTGCTTTATATGATGAGCAGATTTAATTTAGGCCTTATTTCACATATAAACATTGATCAACGTGCACACCCAGAGCACATCAAATTAGGTGAACAAGGCTTAAACTTGCATGCTTGATTAGGTTTGGGTATCGAGAACCGTTTCCTAGAACCGGGGATTTGATAAGACGCATGCATTTCAATTCTGCTTAACGATTCCTGCTTTCACATTTTAATGTGATTTTTAAAACTTTTAAGAGCAAGAAGGGAAAGAACTTGTGTGCCTTTTCTCGTGCTGCGCACACATCTGAAGCGCGAACACAGAGAACCGTGATCCCGGTGCACTTTCCCGGTTTGTGTTCATTCTCGAACAGTTCTGTGCATTTCCACAACAGAAAAGGTATTTCTGGGATGGAACTGACTTTCACATCTTGCGATCAATGTGCACAAAATTACGTCCTCCTAAACTCAGCCGTTTTTTTTGTCTCATGTAAACGTAAACAGATGAGGGAAAATGCATGTGTATTTTTAGATCTGCATGCGTTCAGTGATAAAGAGACCGTAGTCTAATAAACAAGTGCTGCCTGTCAATAATGTTAATCAAAGAACAAAAGAAAATCATTCACTGATTCACGAAATAAACTTTGGATTTTACATTTTTTATTTCAATTTCTGTACCAGAAATGTTGTATTTATGCTATTGCTAATTGATTTGTTTGTTCCTATTTTATTACTGTTTACTTGTCTTTAATGTTTATATTAGTCTAGTTGTTTAGCTGTGGTATATTTTGTTAAAAACATAGGCCAAAGTTCCTCTTGTAAGCCTAAGTGTTCTGTAGGCTACTGATTTTGCTGTTATTCAGCTGCAGCAGAACACTTTGTAAAAAAGACAGAATAACTGTTTAACATGAATTATTGATTTTTCTTTTATGCCAAAAATCATAAGGATATTAAGTAAAGATCACGTTCCATGAAGACTTTTTGTAGATTTCCTACCGTAAATATCAAAACGTAATTTTTGATTGGTAATATGCATTGCTAAGGACTTCATTTGGACAACTTTAAAGGCGATTTTCTCAATATTTAGATTTTTTTATATATTTTTCCAGATTTTCAAATAGCTGTATCTCTGCCAAATATTGTCCTATCCTAACAAACCATACATCAATGGAAAGCTTATTTATTCAGCTTTCAAATCATGTATAAAATGATATGTAATTTAATATGTATAAAATTAAAAATTGACCCTTATGACTGGTTTTGAATATGAATGAGGGAGTAAATGATGACAGAATTTTTGGGAGGAATATATTCCTTAACGTTGTGTAAATACATTATTATGTTTATCACAAATACTATTGATAAATCCCAGAACATTCCACAAACAAATGACTTTAATGCATTTCTAATCTTATTTTTCTTGTTTTAGTGAGTCTCTAGGTGGCTTGCCTCAAGCAGTAATGGAGTCCAGTTACCCATCAGCCTCTCTTGTTTTACCAAGCACTACTGCCCCTCCTGTCTTGGCTCCATCCTCAGCTAGCAGAGTGGAGTCATCTGCCACCACCCCTCTCAGTGTATGACTGAAATTCATCACATTTATCATTTCACAGGCAAAATGCAGCCATTTCAAGTGGAATCCTCACAATCAGTTACTTAGTTGCAGATTTAGCTCATGTTCAAGTTGGCTACTTTGACCAACAGTAAGCTGCTTGCTTTGAAAGTGATTTCTGTGTGAGTGGTGCTTCATGCATACCGGAGCTCTTAACGTTGACCCTTTTTCACCTGCACCTTAATTAGGTTAGCTTGGTCCAAACTATCCAGAACTGAACTGATTTTGTTCAGGGTTCCAATGTTTATTGGAAATACCTGGAAATCTCAAGAAATTTGATATTTCTCATCTTTGGGTTTTCCTTGCCAATAGTGATTATAATAACTTTTATTTTTATTTGATTATAAATGTATTTTTTTAATTGTTGTATTTTTTAATCCGTTTTTTACTAATTTTAGTTAGCAGGATTAGAGTAAACTGAAACGAATAAAAACAAATCATTACTCAAAATAAATGTTAACTGGAAAAAAATATATATTTTTATTTCACCTAGTTGACAAGGCATTTCTCATTTTAATTTGGTTTAACTTGATGTACTAAAATAACAAACTAATCTAAAGATTAATAAAACCTATATAAGCATGTATTTTAAAAAATGACAAACACAAAATCAGTAAAACTTTAAAATGGAAACAAAAGATAAATAAAAAAAACGTATTCAAAATATTAATAAAAACTCTAGTATCTCAGTGATCCTAACATAAAATGATCATTTTCATCCCTATAAATTCATTGGTATGATGGTCTTAATACAGTGAAATATTAGTTTAGCTAATAGCTGAATCGGTTTATTTTTTCCACAGAATGGATTCAGTGAAATGAGGACGTCCAGCGCACAGGAAGGTAAATGAGTTCTGTATTAACAGGCTTGCCATTTTTACCTGTACTTTCTTTGCTAGGTGAATTTGTAGCATAGGCCACACTTTACATTTTTGATCTGATGTATCTGCAGCTGCTCCGTCCAGCACCCCTCAGCCCGTATCCACAGCCCTGTCCACAGAGAACGGCTTGTCATCTTTATCACTCTCATCTTCCTCCTCTTCAACAGCAGCGCCTGTCCTGAGCACAGCTCTTCCATCACCTAGCAGGTATGATGGACCACCTCTTTCGGATTTCAGTCTCATTAAATATTCATGAGAAGCAGTCAGTCTCCTTACGGTCTTATTGCTTGTTTTTTCTCAGTCACGTGAGCAGCGTTAACTCTCCTGGATCTTCTGCGCCCACCAGCTCTTCCATGAGCGTAAGTGTCTTGTGAGGCTCCTCCCATTTCCAGTTTCTCTTCTCCGCTTCCTCACTTTAGTATTTCACTCTTTACCTGAGCTTCTCTCAGTTATTTGTCCTGATTTCAGCTTCTCTATCTCTCATCTTCCTCCTCTTCAACAGCAGCACCTGTCCTGAGCACAGCTCTTCCATCACCTAGCAGGTATGATGGACCACCTCTTTCGGATTTCAGTCTCATTAAATATTCATGAGAAGCAGTCAGTCTCCTTACGGTCTTATTGCTTATTTCTCAGTCACGTGAGCAGCGTTAACTCTCCTGGATCTTCTGCGCCCACCAGCTCTTCCATGAGCGTAAGTGTCTTGTGAGGCTCCTCCCATTTCCAGTTTCTCTTCTCCGCTTCCTCACTTTAGTATTTCACTCTTTACCTGAGCTTCTCTCAGTTATTTGTCCTGATTTCAGCTTCTCTATTTGAGAGGGTTATATTATGGATAAGTGTGACTGGATCGGTGTTACATTGAATTGCAATGCTTCCTTCAGACACAGATGGGCGCTGACGTGAACGTGAGCCTGTCCACGTACTCTGGCTCTGTGTCGAGCGTGTCCAGCTCGACGGTCAACTCCAACGGCCTGAGCGCTGCAAACCAGAGCCTCACCGCTAACGGTGCATCCGCTCCCTCTGCTGTCCGTTCTGCACCGCTGCAGACCAACATCACACTCTCCAACACCTCTGGTCAGTCGCAAAAACATTCACTGCATGCAGAGTTGGAAGTATTTTTAGCCTAATTGTCAATCTGTAAATAGTGTTTTCTTGTTTCCAATTTGTATTTTCTATATCTTCAGGTAAAGCTCCCCCTAACCTGGCTCAAGGAGTACCGCCGCTGCTGGCCAGTCAGTATATCATGGGTCCTGGTGGCCTCCTTCCTGCTTATCCGGTTAGTGTATGGATGATCTGCGCTCCGATAGAGGAAGCCAAATTTTTATATATACACTCCCTTTGTTATTTAGATTTTGTTGACGTGACTTGTACACATTTCTGATCTTTCTATGCCTTCTCATCCCTAAAGCCAATCTATGGATATGAGGACCTACAGATGATGCAGTCCCGCCTGCCCATGGTAACCTTTTCTTAGTCAAATGCTTGTTTTCACACTCTTTTGACAATGCGCTTCCTCCTATTAATAAAATAATTTACCCAAAAATAAGTTCTGGTCAGTAGGGCTGCACATTTTGGGTAATAAAAATACAATTGCTGCTTTTCTGATTTAAGATCTTTTTTTTTTTTTAAGCTCCAAGTTCGCTGTGCTTGTTTGCGCTACACAATTTAGGCAAACATTTTGATTTATATCAATATGACTAAAATAATTTGATTAATAATAGTGCTAAATAAAACAATCAAACGATAAGAAATATTAATATTGTAACATTTACCATTCCAATATTTCACTGTAAAAAAAGTATTTGAGAAAATATTTATTTTTTGCAGTACAATTGTAAAATTATGTCTATTGATTTTCAATCATTAAACCAAGCTTTTATGGCAGAATCCTGCAACGAGCCATTAAAGCTTCTCTTTGGTTGACAGTGGCTGTTTTGAAAGGGTTTTTTATTTTATTTTTTTAATATAAGTATGGGAAGATGTTGCATGTTGTGTTCCCTAATGCATGTTTATAACTCAAGCACATGCAGAGATTTCATGTGGAGGAGCTTTTACTGTGATGTTAATATGATAAATTGACTAAATGATGTCAGTGTTTATTTTTGGATGACCTGTCACTTGATATTTATTTCTCATATATTAATTGAATTGTTTTTCGGTCACTTTTCTATGTAGGATTATTATGGCATGACTTACCCTGGTACAGCGCTAGCTGGCAGAGATGGAGGATTAGCAAATAATCCCTACACAGGTAAGCAGCCATCATTGATGTTGTTATTATTAAAGCACAAAGATTGTTACGCTTGTGCAAATAGGACAATCCAGTACTTATTCAGTCTAAAAGACTGTTCTGTATTGTCTTGCTTGTACAGGTGAGCCTACCAAATTTGGCCGCAGCGACTCAAACTCCCCAGCCCCTGCCACCAGTCTCTCCTCAGTGCCCCCCTCACAGTCTCAACAAAGTGCTGTCCCCCCTCATAATCAAGGGCCGCAGAACCCAGGTCAAGCCCAGCAAGGTCAGACCCAGGCCTTCCTCAACCCCACTCTGCCTCCAGGTTACGGCTACACCAGCCTGCCCTACTACCCTGGGGTGCCAGGAATGCCCAGTGCCTTCCAGTATGGTCCCACTGTCTTCATGCCTCCAGCATCCACAAAGCAGCACAGCATGGGCCCGTCCAGTCAGTACCAACACCAGGCCGGATACAGCCAGCACATGTATGGCCCAGGTACATAAAATGTAACTTGCATAAAAACATCAGTTGCCATTCAAAGATGTTTAAAGGGGTCATATGATGTTGCATTATTTTGTGTATTTGATGTAATGAAATGTTTATGCGGTTTAAGGTTAAAAAAACACATTATTTTCCACATACTGTACATTGTTTCTCCACTATGCCCCGCCTTTCTGAAACACGTCGATTTTTACAAAGCTCATCGGTCTGAAAAGCGAGGTATACTCTGATTGGCCAGCTATCCAGTGTGTTGTGATTGGCCGAATTCCTCAAGCTGTGACGGAAATGTTACGCCCCTTACCATACTGTGATGCCGTGTCCCGGCACGACCAGACAAAACCAATAAAACCCATTACAAACGAGGCATTTGTTGCATCCAGTGGGGACATAATTACGGATTATAATGACTTATACTGTCTTTTTACGTGCTATGTTGCCGCATAAACATAAAACCATGTCTGCATTTGTGAGAGAAATGACAAAAAAACAAGCCCTACTCTACACTGCACAAAACTCTCGTTTGAATCGTCAATGGCAAATCCTTTAAATGAAAATGTACTTACAGTCTGAGTCAGAACAGCCGGCATTGTAGTCTACCAGGATCAGCAAACAGTCCTCCATAAAATACCTGCACACATCTTAATATTTGGGTTTAACTGTTCTGGAACAGTGTTGTAAATACAACTTAACCACTGATTTCTAGTCGTGTCCTTCCAAAAGAGCCGGCAGCTTGAGTGAGCGGAGGCCGGCGGGCTTGCCGGAGACCACATGTGACGATCCCGGGCTGGACTCCGCTTCGTCCACGGTGAAAGCCGATCTGGCAATCCACAGCGCGAAGTTGATGTATTTCCTCAGCGACCAACACGGATCAGCTCCAGGCATGACGAAGAGGATATCGTCCTCTTTTGGAAGGCCAAACAAAGTAGTTTCACTTTCACAACATGGCGGCGGCGGCAACAACAATACTACAGCGAGAAGAAAATTTATGCCGCCTTTGCATGAACATTTGGGGGACGTTATGCAAATCTTCCCACATAGTGACGTAGACATGTGGGGGCGTGTTAGAACGAGCCGTTTTAGGTAGGCGTGGCTGACTCTTAACTTTTATAAAGAATATCTCTTTGGATTTGAGACTTTATTTTTTGCAACTTTACAGATCTTTATGCACCAAGAGCTTGTAACACTCTAAAGAGAAAGGAAAACTTGAAATCGCATCATATGACCTCTTTAAATGCATAGTTTTATACTTTTTTTTTTTTTTTAGTGGAGGGCAAAATATTAAATGCAATACAATGATGATTAAAAGATAAACAAATAAACATTCCTCAAAAGCCTGGATTATATTTGATACTCAAATTTTAACATGATTTTCTAAAAAGCAATATATGGATAATCAAGTAAACGTAAGTTTAGTCGGTCCTTTAAATGTTCATCTTGAAACATTACTAACAATATAAGTTATTCTTACATTTACTATATAAAATGTGTACCACAACCTCATGGTGAACACTTTTAGAATTATACTAAAAGGATTTTTTTCTTGCTGTAAGTATAAAACACAATCTGCTTAATGCATATAGCAGATTGTGTAGACCAGGATTTTCAGTAAAACTGATCATCATAATTGATTATTTAGAGGTCTTAGACGTAAATTACACTGTAGGATTTTGAGGGTCCTGAAATATTATTCATTGGGGCTGTAAAATGGACTTTCTTATTTGAAATCTCTTTTCTCCAAAGGTTATGATGAGTTGTCCCAGGCTCATGCTGGAGGAGATTACGGGAAAGGAGGATATGGAGGAAGCTCCCAGTCCCAGGCCAAAGCAGTGAGCAACAGCTCGGGAAAAGGTAGATTTTGCACTCCCAATTTATGCACAGACGTTGTTGTTTTTAGGGCTGTAACTAACGATTACTGCTTTGAAGTGGCGTGACTCCTGATTGTTTTCCATGCACTGTGTGGAGATGCGATTTGGTAATCACATTTTTCATCATCAGTTTTGATTAGTTGTTGCAGCCTGGCTTAATTCACTAGGATATGGAGTGCTGTTGGAATAAGTCCTGAAACCTGGAAAAAAAGCTTTTAAGCTTTTCTTTGGATTATTTTGATAATCCAAAGATTATCACGATGAACATAATGTGTAATCATAAATATTGTTCATCACAGAGCTTATTTTCTGCAATAAAACCAATATGATTTTCCACTGGCTTTTGGGTTTTGTCGAAGGGAACTAGGGTAATGCGAACTTCTGGTTTGGCCTTAAGTTATTTCTGCAGTGCTCTGGAAAAGCTTCCTAATCAGACTGTAATAACTGTACAGAGCTTGCAGTTGTGTTGAATAGTCAAATTTAAGATGACTTCAATTGAACATTTGAAACCTTTTCTTAGCACCAGGACTGCCTGGATCTGCGAGTTCAGAGCTCACTGGAACAGTGTACAGCAAGACCCAGGTGAGCTTCACATTTCTGCTTGTTTCCACTTGTTTATTTTGTTGGTTTACTTTATCCGTCTTGCACCAAAACAGTCAAAATTTAGTTTTACTTTGCCATTTTCCACCCTCTCAGTATCTTTTCATATCTACCTTATTTTTCAACGCTGCATAAGCTATTTCCTGTGAATGTTCAAGAGACCCCATTTATTAGCGTCTATACTATAGATAAATAACCAGAAGAATAACTAATTGTAAAAGTGCTATCAGTATATTTGATTACGATAATACATTTAAATAAATATCAGTTTGTAACCTCAAGCAGCGTAATTTTTTTATTTTACAGCTAAAATAAGCACCTGACACCAGAAACTTTGCAGATTCAGCGTAAAAATAGTTGCACCTGCTCTTATGTTAAAAGAGGATTAAACTGTTGATTGTTGCTACTGTACTTTTGAGACTTATATCTGCAAATTGCCTCACTCATGATTGGCTAACTACTTTGCATCTGAAGTTCATATGCGGTCGCTTTCATGTGCACATAGTTGTGATGTCAACCAAAGCCAATTACTAGGAAGATTGCATACAAAGCGTAACCAAAAAAACAAGAACAAATGAAGCACAGTTTTATTGAATTTCTGATTGCATGGTCTATGGTCAGTCTTCACAATAGCATTAAAAGTTCATCACAACTGGCACTAGGGGGCAAATTGCAACAGACATTTCCAGAGGTCACAGACGGTGAACTTATGTCTTAGCCCTCTGATGCATGAATTATTAAATCACAAAGTAATATTTTTTTACATGTTTGTTTTTACTTTTTAACAAGTAAAAACAAAACAAAATTTTTTCAATATTATCAGGGCTCGCAAAATCACTAGCCTGACGTCCCGGGGCTATTGTGTTTTCCAGGCGGGCTACCAAAATGTATCCCCACTCTGCCCGACGGGCTACCTTAAATGCAGATCTCCCGCGGGTCCTTAAAAAATCCTAAAGTGAGTTGTATCAAGCTTAAGGCCATAAAAATTTTACATACGTTAAATGGTATAAGAAATGTCTTAATTATAATTTCAAGAGGTCTTACAGTTGGGGACGGAAAGACAAGAGTCATGATACGGCTGGATTAAACTTCAAAAGGCAATGATGCCATTGAATAAATATGAGCGCTGCACGTTTCAAAGTCAAAACTCGGCGCGGATGTCTTTATTTGAATGTATCTGAAGGGAACAGACTGTCCTCAGAAATGTGTCGTTGGCATTTTAATTTAATTTGACCTATAATTCCTGATAAAGCAGCGATTATGAGCGCAGAGCTGCTTTGTGTACAGCCCTTACGGGAAACCGCAATATTTCAGCGCTCCTAAAGCACCACCTCGTGGCAGAGAATGAATTTGCATTTCCAACAAGCCTTCCTTGCCGTTTATGGTCAGATCAATGCAAATATCAACTCATGTTTTTACGCAGCAAACACATAAAAGTTAATGTGCCTTCTAAAAATCTAAACAAGTAAGACGGAAATATTCATACGTTTTAAATTGACATCATAATTTATATGCTTGACTTATCCCTTTTCATAAAAATGGTCTAAAGGCTGAAATGCTGTTGTATAAGATTTTTGTGAAAACCTGTATCTGGACTGTAAATCATGTAATTTTATGGCTCAGTACTGTATGTTACCACAGACATTGTCCAACCCCACTCATACTGTTCATTTTACTTGTGCAGCTCTTAAAATTGGTCATTAATTGCCTTAAATTTATTTTAAAAAAATTCTGCAGATACCCTGTAAATAGTGAAATAAAATTCCTTGCTTCATATTTGTTGGTATTTGTGTATTGGAAATATTTTTGATTGACATTTAAACTCCTATCTGATTTTCTATATCAAACGTATAAAAAGTAAATCAATAGAACGTAATGGGTGGTCTTAAAAAACACGTCTTTAAAATATTTATTACGTGACAATGGTATGAATACACATAAGAACATTCAATAACAACAAGCTATGTCCCATATATCTGCACTCATACAGTATACATGCCTACACTTTTATATTACCTAATAAATTAATATATTCTGTAAGCATTGAAATAAATGATAAAATCTGAAGACTATTTAATATTTCTGTTCAATAAAAACCATTCAAGTGTAAATTATATCATAATTTTAATAAAACATACAAAATAAGACACAAATATAAAAATATTTTTGTACCGGTCTAGTTTTCTGGGAATAAAATTATTTACACTTATTGGCGAGGTACATGGTGCATCCCCGTTTCCTGCCGCCATTTTCAATATATTATGCAATATCTCAAAACAAAAAAATAGAAAAGACAACAATCAAATGGAATCGTAGACAACACTTTGGGGGTTCGCCAGTTGGTGGTTGGGACATGCAACATCTTAAATGGTTCAAAATGACTTCCAAATAGCTGTCCACTGTAGTGAGCACGATGCATCGGAGGGTTAAACTAGCTCACTGTGGTTTACAAACATGAGGAAAAACCAATCGGCTTAAATGGTTCCTTCTTATCTTTGATCCTAGCTTTTGAACTATGACATTGATTATTATTTAGGCTGGTAATTTATTATTATTATTATCATTTTGGTTTTTGACCCGAGATATTTGAGGTTTACCTGGTAGCAGACCCCATTTTTTATATAACATTTTATTTTAGTTATATTTTTGCTGTTATTATAAATGCTATATAAAATTTAACATTTTACAAATGTATTTAAAACAAAATATTAATTTAACTTAAAGGGTCCTTTCAAGGCTATTTATTTATCTAATTTATTAATCTCATTTCTCTTCTCTGACCCTTCTAGTCATTTGACAAGCAGGGTTTCCCCACAGCAGCCGGCCCTGCGTTCAGCCTGCCCTCAGCTCTGGGAGGAACTGGCCCGCTTAACCCCGCAGGTGCCCCCGGATACGCCCCCGCACCCTTCCTTCATATCCTGCCCCATCAGCAGCCCCCCTCACAGTTACTGCACCACCACATGGCTCAAGACACACAGGTACATCACGTATTCACAATCAGACGCTTTAACATTATTCTTACATTACATTAGGTTTCTCATTAGTAAAGGTTTCTCAGCAAAATGTTTGATTATGTTAATAATTTGCACCTTAAATATGATCTAGCGGGCTTTATAGGGTTAATGCTGATTCTTTTTGTCATCTGCAGGGCCAACGCAGTCAGGCCAACAGCATGCAGAAGGGTCAGGGCAAATCCAACTACAGCAGCTCTCCATACTGGGCTAACTGAGCGCGCCGTTTATACTGTTACCCACATAAACGCCCGCATCCGTGTGTCCGCACTGTCCTGCCTCTAACATGAAATGCACACTCGCACAAACACACGCCGTATCAGTTCTCCCCCGTCCCCCTCCTCCAACGTTCTCCTCTGCTTTTTTCCTTCTCTGAATTAGGTTTTTCATGTAAGATATTTATGTAAGTATTTATATATACTGTAAATGTTAAGAAGCCGAGCATAAGATGTGGTCACTCCATTTTTATTTTTTTTGAAGGACTTGGTTTTTTTCTGTTTGTTTGCTTTTTAAAAACTGCAGAGATGTAGCAAAAAATTAAAAGGAAAAGCATTTTGAGGAAAACTAAGACACTGCAATGAGAACTAGAGCACTGACGATGGAGGAGGGTGAACTTGGGGGTTTCATCCATTCAGACATCTTGAGGGGCTTCACAAGCATCGAGCGCACCATTCTTGACTCTTTTCCTCTATGGATTGTTCTCCCATACAATGGTTTTGAAATTAATTTCTGTCGCCTGAAAGAAAGGAAAAACAGCCCATAAATTTTCTATTTTACTCTTGTTGCCCTCTGAATAAAGGTTCTGAGCTATTCACCATATTGTGTGTCTTTTATTCGCTGTGCTGCTGGTGACGGTTTTTAGATTAAAATGTTAGTGGAATTTTTATTAATTATGGAGTTGCTTGGTTTTACCACAATGTCATTTAAAGTTACGTTTGACCATTGTTTCTGTCGTTTTATATGAAAGTGTTTTTTACATTTGTAAACGTTAACTTGAAATATGCTGTTTGATTGCAAGTTTGAACTTAGCTAGTTTAATCCGTTTACTGCGGTTACCTTATTATAATCTTAAAACTATTAAAATGATTTTAGTATCCAAAAAAGGTACTGTTTTTCCATAAAATACAATTTTCTAAAAATCTAATTAAATTAAAAATCCATGAAAAAAGAACGAAGGTAAATTTCTTCATTGTTTTGTATTTGCTAATGTGTTATGAACTGCTATTATGACGGAAGAAAAGCATCAAGAAAAAAAGAATGCTCTATTTCTGTCCATTTGTTTATATAAAATTTTAAATAGTAATGTTGAACTATTCATCAATAATTTTTACGCTTTTGTCCTGTGTCCTGGATTGTGAAAAGATCAAACGGCCATCAAGGTTAAAGTGAACTAGTACATCTCGCCAACATCTCCTTAATAGATTTACAGGGTGAAGACTTCAGATTTGAATTAGCTTAGGTAGGTACTTTATCTCATCTAAGCTGGTTCTGTTCAAGGAGTTTGAAAGGTGGTGTGTCACGTTCTCGGACGCTCTCTCTAATAAAGCTGCATTGCATCTGCCACAGAGACAGTTTGCAATGACATGAGGACCATAAGCATTCAATGTACATCAGTGCTTCTCAGCTTGTCTCTTTAAATCTCTCCATTGTCCAACAATATTTGAGGCCCCCATATTGGCTAAATGTTTTTATTTTTTGTATTCTGCTGTAATTATGACAATGCTGCCTATTATTAATAGGAAATTGGAGTGTTGATTAAATGGACACATGATTACAACCTTTTTTTTTTTTTAAATAGTTTAATCGAAACATGACTACAGATTTGTGTTTCAGTAGAGTGCTGTTAGTGTGTCACCTCACCGCAGGGCTAGCATATGGTTATGAACACTAGAGGGCGCCAGCATCAATGTTAGTGTTATGAAGCGGTGAGCTGTAACCTAGTTTTTAACTGCGCTTAATGTTACTGTCAAGTGTGAAATAACACAGTATAGTTCACTGTATTAGTATACTATGTATAACTATGTAAACACAATATGTTCAGAAAAGTTAAGTAAGGGCACATAATTAAGCGATATGACTGACTATATTAACAATACAGCACAGCCTCGTACTTTCTTATAAAACATTTACTGCATAATAAAAATGTCAAGAACACAAATGTGACCCTGGACCATAAAACCAGTCGTAAGGGTCCGTTTTTTTGAAATTGAGATTTATACATAATCTGAAAGCTGAATAAATAAGCTTTCCATTGATGTAGGCCTATGGTTTGTTAGGACAGGACAATATTTGGCTGAGATGCAACTATTTGAAAATCTGGAATCTGAGGGTGCAAAAAAAGAAAGAAAATCGCCTTTAAAGTTGTCCAAATGAAGGCCTTAGCAATGCATATTGCTAATCGAAAATTAAGTTTTGATATATTTACGGTAGGAAGTCTTCATGGAAAATGATCTTTGCTTAATATCCTCATGATTTTTGGTAGAAAAGAAAAATTGATAATTTTGGCCCATACAATGTATTTTTGGCTATTGCTACAAATATATCCGTGCTAGTCTGGTTTTGTGGTCCAGGGTCACAAATGGCATTTTAGCATTATTTTTAAGCAAATGAATTACGTGGCATCCTTCCAATTGCTTATAGGCTAATCCCTGACATAACAGAACTTTGTGAAGGAAGAAACCATTCACAGAGATGTCATAGATGTTACTTTATTGGAACGCTGTACTGACCAATCAGAAACCAGGAATGGAACTACATTACACATAACATCCTACATTACTTTTTAGATTGTTAGGCAAGAGGGAGTAAATGATTTGATAAATCATTTTTGAGTGAACTGTCCCTTTAAATTCTATATGATGGTTTTAAAACAGTACAGCAATGAACTGTTGTTCTTCATCATACAATGACCTTCTGAAGATAATGCAGTCTTCATGGCACACACTATTGTGTATTTTCATTCATGTCAACATATATAGGGCCGGCCTGCGGTGTTAATTACTCTGATGCAGTGAGGCTTTGCATTAATTGATGCAGTGTTTGCATTAATTTACTTTGCTATAGCATAAGATTGTCTGTCAGCTGAATAGCTGGCTGGCTCCAAATAATAGTCTGTGTGTGTGCGCGCGCATATAGAGGGAAAATGTTTCTAAGAATGATGTTGTGTGTCATCCATGCTCTGATTTGCTGAGAATAACAATGATCTCCTGCCAGTGAGACCAGTGAGGGGCTCCCACATTGCCGTCAGGGCCACAGAGCCCTTTTTGTGTTGCTGCTGTGTGTTTTCTGGCTGCCTGTCTCTCTCGCATATGCAGGTCAATGGGCCCAGCCTGTGTGATGTTTGACTACTGTCTCTTTCATTTCCGTCAGCATTTAGCACGTAAAATCCTCCCTGACAAAAATTCAATTTGGAGAAGCCATCAAGTAATATAGTCTTGACTGCATCAACCAGTCAAATCATTTTACATGCTGCTGCCCTACTTCTCTTATTGCATTTGGTGAGCAAGTGCACAAATGAATAAATGGGCTTTATGCATTAGCCATTGAGCTCTATGTTGGATGGTCTGAGGAGCTACATTGTGTCCGACCATGTGAAAATTCAGTGACATTAAAGAGGGCTTATGGGAAGAAGTAAATATTTAAAATCATTTTTGTCTGTAAATTTCGGTGGAGGTTTGTCTTATTTGTGTGGGATAGTAAAGGGATGGGATATTCACCCTAAAGGAAAATTCTGTCGTCGTTTACTCACCTTTATGTTGTTCAAAACCTGTATGAAAATAGATATTTTGAACTATGTTTAAACTGTTTTGTCCACATTATGAAAGTCAGTGGGGTCCAAAACATGGAGAGAAAAAAAAAGAACTGAGACATTTTTTCCCCAAATATATAAAGTATATCACACTTGTTTTGAAAGACAAAATTACAAGTAATTAACAACTTTTTTTTATAATTTTTTTTAATTTTATTTATTTATTTAAAGTTTTTTGGTGTGAACTATCCTTTTAAAGGCATCTTAAATGGTAATAATAACATATTTGCAATATACTTGTGTCAATCTATAATATAGTGATAAATAACTGTTGTCAGTGTTGCCAGGTCTGCGGCTTTCCCGTGAATTGGGCTACTTTTACACTGTTGCCGTGCGTTGTTTTTCATGTCATGGGATAAAGCGACTCTAATAACGTGATGTTTAGCCACTGTAATACATATTTTACCAGGGGAACCCAGCCAAAAAACGTGTATTATAAAACGGATAGTTCCGGTCCTTGATTCTGATTGGCTGAGCCACTTTCAAAGCTGTTGTAAATTACACTACAAGCACACACCTTTGTTTACTTCTCTGCAACCACTTTGTTGTAACACAACTGTGTCTGAGGAACTACATTGTTTGGCGGAAGAATACTGTTTTTATTAATATCATTACACTTTATTTGCTCCGTTTTATTTTGTGAAACCTTACTACGTATATGGAATCACCGTTTTATAAAAGCAATAAGCCCCGTGAAGCCGTGGTTTACAGTGAATTTATAACAGCTAAGAGGGTTATAAAAAAACAACGCCCCTTAGCTGTTATAAATTCACTGTAAACCATGGCTTCTTGGGGCTTATTGTTGTATTTTATCCCCACAGAACGTGATTTTTACTGGTTACTTTGTCACGTGAGCACGATTTCAGTTCACAAACGTAACCAGTCTGACTAAAGGCTGGAATACACGGGACTTTTGAACAGATTTTAAAACACCCATATCCTTGAGAGAAAACTAGGAATCATGCTAAACAACTGATTACCACACACTAATGGTGTGTGCACACCAAAAGCGAATCTAATGGCGCTTTTCCACTGCGTGGTACGACTCGGCTTGGTACGGCTCAGTACGGCACGGCACGGCACGGCACGGCTCGGCTCGGCACGGTTTGTGTTTCCACTGCAGTTTAGTGCCGCTTTAGAGTGGGCGGGATTATTCACATGTCGTTATAGTTGCACCGCCTCTGCTGCCACGACTCCTGAAAAACTTTTTCATTCCGCGTCGCCCCATCAAGCTCTCGCTGGATCCGCTCCTGTGCTATCAACGAGAGGAACATCTGTTCTTCCTCAACACACAACAAAACAGCCACTTTTTGGTTGTTAAAAAAAATGCGCTCGATCAAAACAGTTGCGTTCGATCCTTCGCTGGCTGTGCTGATTTAAATCTAGCGGTTCTGTTGTGTTTGTGTCGCAAGTTCAGTGACGCAGGTAGTGACGATTCTCTCTCCGGCCAATCCGTGATCAGCAGAGTTTACACGTCACGTTTTGGTAACGGTACGGTTCGCTTGGAACCTGAACCGAGGTGGTACTAAAAAAAGTACCAGGTACTGTACCCAGTGGAAAACCCCCCAAAAGTGAACCGTACCGTGCCGTTCCAGCGCCATAAATAGTTTAGATATACAAATTCATACAAAGACGCGAAAAGACGTGAAGTTGTGCCGGTCGACAGGAATTGGGTGACGCGTTTGCCTCGAACACGCGATATTTGCCTCAATTGCATCTTATGTGCAAGAAAAACATCCCGTGAGTATCTAGAGCAAGTAACGCGATGCAAATATTCGCTTTGCTTTTGGTGTGCACACACCGAAGGCCGCATGTCCACCAACGGCTAGTGTATTTTTTCAATTGTTTTCAATGGGAGTGCCACGTTTTTTAAAAAGCCATGAGTGTGACGAGGCACTGAGCGTCTATTCTACGCGTTCAGCATTTTTTCTCAGCGCTGAGAATTGAAGAATGTTCAACTGTGGTTAAAACACTGCGCTCATCACTGTCACGTTTTAGTCAATTAACCAATCACAGTGGAGGAGGGGCGAGACTAATACCACACCAACCAACCAACCGTCACACCCTGCTTGTACTATGACTGAACAACAATGGAGAAGTTAATATTGCTTGTCTCCGAATATTCAGATCTTCACCAGTTGGAATTCCCAGACTACCACAATATTGTTATGAAAATAATGCTTTGAGAAACATTTATTTCACGGTGGGCCTGCCATATTACTTTAGTAATATTCCATATCATAGCAACCAAAGCGTCTCAACTGAAAACGTTTCGCCGCAGAAGTGCTCACAGCTGGGCGTTTTCAGCAGAGCACCTGGCATTTTTAGCTGGCTAAAAATCATGTGGCCTATCAGACTTTTAAACTCCTTGTTGCTAGGAGATGCATGACATATGTAATGTGTATGTGTATGTATGTGGAGCTTATCAGAAGTGTGCAGCGAGGGTGCATAGTAGTCACAAAGGGGGCGCTCATGAGCACCCTTCAGAAAGCTAAAATGAAGAACGGAAAACCCTATGGTCTCATGGACTTAACAGACATGCATGTGCGGCGGCCATTGAACGTCTGCAAGACTGCAAGTGCACATGAAGTGTGCCATTTGGGACAGGGCCTATGCAGTGTACTCAACCCTGTAGTGTATGCATTTGATAAATTATGCCATTCATAGATCAGTGGTGTGAATGCACCACTTGCGCTATTTCTACAAAATGACATAGAATAGTGCATAAGTACAACAATTGGGACACACTTTATGTGTCTAAAATAGTCCCAATATATCGAGCACGCTTGATGACCTCCAACTGGATGGAAGCTAAAAATCGATGAAGTCGGTGCCCGTCAACCTTTACACGATTTTCTGCTATATTTGTCAACTGAAATCTGGACACTGGCTCTGGCTTTTGACAACGCTGATGCGCCCAGATTGCAAATCAGGGAAAAATCTTGCACAAAAGTTGTATTGTGCATTCCCGCCTTAACATTACTAACTTTGTGTTTTGCTGAAATGTTGTTTGAAAATGCAGCTGAAACTTATTTGTAAAAAATAAAATAACAATACTTTATTCTGTCTTAATTAGGGGGGTCAGACCCCCCAATCCCCCATAATTCGCACCCTGGGATAATAATTATCCAGTGATTTCCGCACATTACGTTTGTTTACTCAGCTCTGAAGGGGTGATAAATAAAGGCTTAATTGCAGCAGAAGGAATGCACGCTGGCAACTGTTCTCAGAGAAAGACACTTGAAGGGGGGCGACTCGGGCTCTCGGGGTAATGGCTGTCAAGCGGAATTTGCGCCCCCGGTAGAGAAGCGACGCGCTGAATGGGGTTGCCCGCTACCTCCGTGAGCTGGGTACTTGATTCCGCTCTCAAATCTCCGCATGTTCCCTTCTTCTCTCCTCCTCCCTCGGTGCTTTAAATTGCAATCCTGCTCTCGCACTCAATGGCTTGTTCACGGGGTGTTTTCGTCCCCTTTCATCTCGTTTATAAGGACCGTGAGATATTCTTGTCCCTCGTCTGCTGTCGGATTTGACAGCGGCTCCATTCACGGAGAAATTGGCCGTAATTAGTGCAATTATGCTGATTCGCACTTGTACTGCAAACGGAACAGAGCGCGGAGGGGTAACCAAAACCAAGATCAATCAATCATGACGCGAATGAGAGCGACGCGTAACGCTGGCCACATAATGATGCCATCAGAAGTCTGGTGACTGGCGGAGGACAGAAAATTATACAGGTTTGAAAAGACATTAGGGTGAATAAATAATGACATAATATTAATTTCTGACTCGGTGAACTATTCCTTTAAAAAAATGAAATAGCCAATTCGTGGATTTTTTAACCATATAATTTAAGTCAAACATGTTTGTGAGCTACATGCATGAAGCCTGTCAATAACGTATATTTCATCCCAATATTGAAAGGAAAATTAAGGTATGATATTGTGCATGAGGAAAGTTAATACTATATATTATTACAAATTTTGGCATAGTGACATTACCTTCTTTATAATGAAGCATATTTTCCTCCATTATTCTCATTAGAAAAAAATGAGTTGGCATCATTCTCATTATTGTCTTACTACAGAGAAAGATATTAAAAATGCGCAGTATGTATACATCATCATAGTGTTTATGCCTTTAATTCATGTTGATTTTTATAAAAAAAACAAAAAAACCTTTCTCATTATTGTGTTCCAGTAGCCATCATTCATATAATTGGATGAATGTTAAAGAAAATAAATGTCATGAAACAATGTTGGTGTTTGTCAGTTCCTTAAGGATCTCTTCTCCTTCTTTCTCAGGTGGAGTGGGTGCAACAGCAGGTGGTGAAGAGGAGAACAAAGCGAGATTATAAACCCTCATATCCTGGTCCTGTACAGTCCAGTATGGCCCAGTCCAACTCCATTTACTTCAATGATGCTAAATGGAGCAGTATGTGGTACATAGTGAGTATTCTTAATCAACAATGCTGTACATCGTTCTTCTGAATTTCTAACGTTGAAAAACAAGTTGATAAAGTCTTGATCTTTGTCATGGTTTTCATCATTTCCTACTGCCAAAAAAACTTCTGAGCTGTTCAGCTCGAGTCCTTAACCAAGGTCTAACAGTAAATGAATCATCAAGCACATCTTATTCTGAAAGGCAAAAAGTCATGTTTGTATTCGATCGTGAAAATATATTTTCTTTCTCCTCAGAAATAACTTCTTTTTTGCTGATGTTAGCAAAGGCACACAGACAAAAGAGAAAATTACTCCATTCAATTTATTTGTGAAGCTTTTTTCACAATACATATTTTTCCTTATGCCTTGCAAATCCCACAGTGATCAATGAAAAGGTGAAACTTCGAGATAAACACTTATATAATGAAATTATTATCCAATAATATCATAGACTAGCTTCACATCCAGACGGATAAAATCAAGTCATGTCCCATGTTATTTGCAGCTGAATATTCTGTTTAAGTCCGCAATCCAGCCCATTATTGAATTGAAATGAGTTGCGAATGCTTTCATTAAAGACAATGTATCATGTTGTGCTTAGTTAAATGCAAAACCAAGCCAATCTTCTGCTTTTCAAGGCGGCTTTTCACTAAATCACAATGGCAGGTAGTAAAACTTTGGTGTTTTTAACTAAAACTAATTTGTCAGTTTAAATCTCGCTCAAAGGAAACGATACCCGTCACACCAGATTAGCCGAGTTTCTACATGTGAAAACCACCCAGAGAGATACATTGAACTTTCGTAAGGTCTATCATAACGTCTAGCGGAGACATTTTCTGTGAGGTGTACGAACAGGCTCGTGTTTTCATAGCTGTCATGTTCCTCAGCTCACGAGAGCCGATGGTGTGGTAAATCAGCACGTAGGGAATGTGAAGACATCCTTGCATTTTATTTCATTTTTTTACATGGTAAACAGCCATCTAGATTTGCCAGAATGTATGAAAGGTTGCACTTTGGCTGCGGCTGAAACCTTGAGTCATAGCACACATAGCAATTGTTGTCATCACTTTCTGTCTACGATCGTGTTTATAGCTTCGACCAAAACGGTGAGAGTGAACTAAGCACTTGTTCTCTAATGGGTTGTTACAGCTCTGTCAATGGTTAGTATGGCTCAGATAACATTAATACGTTGACCTGAATGCATCCATTTGGCTCAGGTTTCTCTTGTTGGCCTGCGAGTTGTAATTTGGGAGCAAATAAACTTGACTTTCCAGGATGGGGTCTAATTCCAACTCCAGGCCCAATGAAACCGTACATTTGGTTCCATGTGACGTATGTAATAACAGTGTCTGAGATGCATGAGGAAAGATGCAGTAATTTACAAAGATATGTTTTTAAAATAATGTTAGCTTGTTACCACATGCTTGGGATTTTAAAGGCACCAGAAATAGCCAAGATTTTACTCGGGCCTTGTGTTTAGCATGCATGTTGCAGACACATTGAGCTGTGGTATTCGTGGGAGATGTGGGATTGAATCCACTCTACCCTGTTTCTCTATCTCTATTTTGTTTTAAATAATAACCAGAAGACCCAAATTTTCTTTGTATTTGCAAACATATACACTAAATTTATTTATGCTAATCCTTCAAAATTCCTTTATGTACATTTCTGTTCAAAGGTTTGGGGGTCTGTAAGCCTTTTTAAAGTCTCTTATGTTCATCAAAGCTGCATTTATTTGATCATAAATATAGTAATATTGTGAAATATTTTTATAATTTAAAATAACTGTTTTCTATTGTAATATATTTAAAAATATAATGTATTCCTGTGATGCAAAGCTGAATTTTCAGCATAATTACTCCAGTCTTCAGTGTCACATGATCCTTCAGAAATCATTCTGATATGCTGATTGATTTGCTGCTTATAAACATTTATTATTATTATAATCAGTGTTAAAACCATGATACGTTTTTTTTCAGGATCATTTGATGAATATAAAGTTCAAAAGAACAGCGTTTCTTTGAAGTTTAATTATTTTGTAACATTGTAAATGTCTTTACTGTCACTTTTGATCAATGTAATGCATCCTTGATGAATAAAAGTATTGGTTCTTTACAGTAACAACAAAAAAAACTTACCAACTAACTGCAAACTTTTGAACAGTAGTGTAAGCATACAGTTTGTTACTCTTCACCTAATTAGATTGTTTCACGTCCTCTTTTATCTCCATCTTTGCAGCACTGTAATGATAACATCCATAACTGTCAGTCTGACATGAATATCGTGGGCGCGTGGAAGAGAGGCTATACGGGGAAGGATGTGGTGGTTACCATTCTGGATGACGGTATTGAGAGGAACCACCCAGATCTCATTCAGAACTATGTAAGTGTATCTGTGTGTGTGAGACTTTTAAAAACAATTAATTAATTCTAGCATATTGCATATACTCTGCATTATATACTTAGGAGTGGTTACATGTTTAGTCAAATTTTGTGTAAAACCATATAAATTATAATTAAAATTATAATAAAAATAAAAGGTGTTTGATATTTAATAAGAGATTCATTTGTTGCAGTAGAAATGGTAGGTCAGGTTGAGCACATCGCACACAGCAGGTTTTCTATGTAATTAATGTGCTTTGTTGTTGCACAGTGTCTGTCATCCAGGTATTGCTTTCTTACAGTAAAAATCCATTTTAGTTACATTGAGCTATTTTATTGAGACGGCTTAGAATTTAACAGAATGTTGGTTTATTTATAATTAACATTTTTCTCGTCTAATCTGAAATCTTGAATTTTTCCCCATTGAACTTCTTGCAGTGCATTCTGGGATACATGTGATACTGCCTTAGAATTTGGCTAAAACACTGTATCAGTATCAGACTTTAAAGGGATATTTCACCCAAAAATTTTTTAAATTCTGTCATTAATTACTCGCCTTCATGTCGTTCCAAACCAATAAGATCTTAGTTCATCTTCGGAACACAAATTAAGATATTTTTGATGAAATGCGAGAGCTTTCTGACCCTCCCATAGACAGCAACAGAGCTACCATGTTCAAGGCCCAGAAAGGTAGTAAGGACATCGTTAAAATAGTCCATGTGACATCAGTGGTTCAACTCGAATGTTAAGAAGCTACGAGAACCACAAACTACTTTTTGTGCATAAAGAAATCTAAAATTTTCTTCTCATCTGTGTTAGTCTTCAGTACCACAACTGATGTCACATGGACTATTTTAATGATGTCCTTACTACCTTTCTGGGCCGTGAACGTTTCAGTTGTGTTGCTGTCTATGCAGGATCAGAAAGTTCTTAGATTTCATCAAAAATATCTTAATTTGTTTTCCGAATATGAACAAAGGTCTTACGGGTTTGGAACGACGTGAGGGTGAGTAATTAATGACAGAATTTTTGGGTAACCTAACCCTTTAAGGTCGAGGTGTCAGGCATTAAATGCAAGGTGCAAAGGCTCATTACACAGGGATGGAGACCAGAGAACATTTTTTGAATTAATGCCAATGGAGGAGAGGTTTCACTACGCTCAATGAACTGCTTTTGTGGGAAAACAGCTTATCATTTAATAAACTGACAGCATATCGGCTAATTTTCAACATTTTTGCCATCAAACATTCATTGCCAACCTAAAAACTAGGATTTGGATCAGAGCAAGTGAGCAAAACAAAGACTGTTAGTATATTGACTGATGTTTTTGTGTTTATATAAGCCCTGTCCTAAAAATAAATGTACAAAATTCACATGCTCACATGTAAAATTCCAGAAATTTTGCACTATTTTGTTCACTTTTAGCATTTTTGAAGTGCCCTAATTGGCACATTCACATAATGGACGGACAAATCCACATTTGACCATGTTCTCATGTGTCTTTCTCTTCCTTTGATCTGTTTGCAGGATAATGAGGCCAGTTATGATGTGAACGGTAATGACATGGATCCCATGCCCCGATACGATGCCAGTAATGAGAACAAGTAAGAGTGAAGTTCATTACGCACGCACGCGCTCAATTCTTTGAGCATATCAGGTCATTATAACCCTGGAAAGGCTTTGTTTATACAGTCCTCTCTGTGGTGTGTGTGTGAATGTGGGTATTTGGCTTCTGATCTGTGTGCTAGTAAGAGTGGTTGGCATGTTTGTTTGGCGAATGTGGGTTTTTGGAGTTTGCTTTCTGTGCGTTTGAGGGTTTCTTAGGTGTATGAGTAAATATGGCGCTTGGCTTGCAATCGGTGTGTGTAGAAGTAAGTGTATTTGGCATGTTTGTTTGGCAAAATGGGATTTTTGGAATTCGCTTTCTGTGAGAGCTTATGCGTGTGTGTGGAAATTTTGGCACAAATCAGTGTGTATTTGGAAGTGTTTGGTGAATGTTGAGATTTGGTTTGTTGTGTGTGTATATATGGGTGTGTTTGGTGAGTGGGTGGAGGCCCCCATGTGTTTTTGCGACTGCCACTCTGCCAGTGTGTGTGAGCCTGTGCCAGATGGCTCTGCAGCTTTTTTGGACCGTTCAGACTGAAAGCTTGGCCCAGGCTCTGATCCTCTGTGCCATTACGTTTCTGCGAGGAGCTCCAGTGCAATGCAATTCTGCAACGGATGAGCGAAAACTGAACCCCATCTGCTCCCTTCATAGAGTAAAGCATCCCTGAATGACAGTAATTTACTCACCTTCATGCCATTCCAGATTTTTTATTTTTTTTTTGTAGAATGCAAGAGAAGAAATTTTCAGGAATGTTCACAAAGCTGTCTACTGTAACATAACTTTTAAAATATAAAATGACGCTATATTTGAAAGTGAATTTTCACAAACTGGTCACATTTGGTCTTTAAATCAAAACAAATAAATGATGTATTGTGCAGTGTTATTTTAGTAATATTTATATACTATTATAGTTTCTGTTAATATTTTGTATTGACTTTTTTCATTTTTTTTTAAACATTGCTATTATGGTTTATTTTCTTGTAGTTTTAGTTCAGTTTTGGTTATTTCTAGTTAGTTTTAGCTTCAACTTATGGAACTTTTTTCTCATTTTTGTTCATTTGAAATGTTTCGTCTTTTTAATTTGTAATTTAATTGAATTTTAGCTTTTAAATTCAGCATTTCAATTTTTTTTTGATAATTTTAGTTTTAGTTAACAATATTAACCTTGTTTGTGTAAAATTTTGCTTTTTTTTAGGACCATTTTTATGACAAAAAGGCACATTTCTAATCCACCAATTCTCATTACCTTAAATGTAAAGAAAACGCAACTTTTTAAAAATTAAATGGTAAAATATTTATCCGAGTCCAACAAGTCTCTATGTACCTTTTCCATTGTCTAACATTTTCCCCCTGTATTATTATTTTAGGAAAGTGATAGCACACCTTTCCTCAATCTGCGCGATTTGAGATATGATTCATGTCCGCAGCTCAAATGGTGCAGGACGAGTTATGTGCTAAAATGTAATACTTATCCCAAAGAATGAGCAATAATAGAAGTGATTTTTGCGTTGCCTGTCTCAGACACCTCTAAAGGCTTCACAAACCCCCATCTGGAGGTGTATGTGAATGCACGTACGCACGAGTGTTTTGCTGTCGTGAGCACTATTCCCCCGCTTAATTTACACTTTCAGGAGCCCCATTAGAAGTATTTCCGTGGCCCGAGGAAAAGGGGAGTGTTTGACGCTGTCACTGTTTTCAGGAGGAAGCATGTGGTGGAGACGGAGAGGGAGGTTTAGGTCTGCATGTATAGACACGCTCTATAGAATACCATCCACCTCCTGCCCTGGCTTCTTCTGTCTTTGTCAGGCTTCGAGTGCAGAATGTTCAAAAGTTCTCGCCTCATAAAGGAAGTATAGACAACTATATGGCAATTGAATTAACTCCTTTAAATTGGGCATATCCTACATTTTTTGTACCATTTTATTTTCTCAAAGTCTGCTTCTAATGTTAGTTGAGATTAACAAAATTTAGTTATGACCTTTTTCCAGCTTCCTCTGATCAGGAAATTAAATGGGCTGATTTTGCTATTGTGTCTTTAAGGGGGTATTAAGACATAAATGTTTTTCTCTATTAAAAGTTGCCCAGAATTATTGTCATCCTTTTATTTAATACTTTTTGCAACCTTCATTTGCCAAGATAACAGCTCTGAGTCTCTCCTATAGAGTCTGATGAGTTTGGATAACACCTGACAAGGGATCAGAGACCATTTTTTCATACACAATCTCCTCACATTCTTCAGATTCCCAGCTCCATGTTGGTGCTTCTCCTCTTCAGTTCACTCCACTTGTTTTCTATAGGGTTCAGGTCAGAAGACTGGGGTGGATTTAGCAGAACCTTCATTTAGCTCTCAGTGACCCATTTTTGTGTTGATTTTGACTTTTGTTTTGGATCATTGTTTTGATGGAATATCCAACCGTGGATTTTTAGCAGGGAGGGGCAGAATTAGATTTTTATCTGTTGCTATTTGCTAGAATTCATGGTGCTGTGTATCTGAACAAGATGTCCAGGACCTCCGGCAGAAAAATAGGCCCATAACATTAAAGATACAGGAGTATATTTCATTGTACACATGGGGTACTTTTTCTTTTTTTTTTCTTATCTCTGCATCCCTTTAAACCCATCTCATGTGTGCCAAAAAGTTTTTTAGTTTCATCTGTACATAGAACTCCTGTTTGAAGTTCCAGTAGTGACTGGCACATGCTGGAGTTAGTTTTTGAATGAGAGCAGATGTTCTGTTTTTTCCCTGAAACCCTCCCAAACAACTTGTGGTGATGTAGGTTAGGGTTGTGCAAAAAATCACATGCGATTTGTCATGCGCATCTCTTTAGTAAAGCCGGTTCTGTGATTAGTACATCTCCATCATGTGCTTTCAGATGGAGCAGCATTACTGACAAGCTACGCAATATCACGTTCATAATCGCAGGCGATTCATCGCCGATAATGAACGCGATATTGCGTAGCTTATCAGTACAAGCACGTGATGGAGATTTACTAATCACAGAACCGGCTATACTGACGAGATGCGCATGATAATCGCATTCGATTATTTGCACATAATTTTTGAGGCTTTCTGACCCCAAGACTCTCCTATTTTCTGCAATTCTCCAGCTTTGATCCTTGGAGAGTATGCCAAGTTCACACGTACTCCGTCTGCAGTGTGTGTACAGTACGTGTACGCAGTGCAGAAGCAGCACAGACTCATTTTGCTTTCGCACAGGACGCGTTTGCAGTCCGCTCCTGATCCGCAGCCGTTTACTACAAACACAACATTTATCCATTATTTTGATTTCAAATCCAAACGTTGTTTCTGAAAATGCTTTTTCAGCATTGTGATTCTCTTTTATCACAGTACAGTAATACAGTCTTTCATAGACATATTCACGTTTAAACTCAATAAATATAACTTTGTTTAACTACCACCTCGAGTGCCATCTATTATTGCCTTGTTTATCTAAAAGTGCACTTTTCCTTGTTTTAAATCTAGCCAAAAAGCCATGTGTTGACTGTGAAACAGTAGACTTTAATTATATGCATTTATAGAAATAGAAATAGATTCCGTGCAGAAACGATTGCAGCATGACTGCTGCAGACGCACCGCTCCTGGAGCACACTGCCAGACCGCAATTGCGTGTGAATGCTCTGATCCGTTAACATGGGCGCGGAAAAAATACGCACCACAGGCGGAGTGTGTGAACCTGGCGTTACACAGCATGATTATTACACAGGTGTTTCTGTGAGTTGGTCTCTATTTCTTAGAGCAAAGCTGCATAAACTGCATATCAGGCATTTATGTAATGCATCTAATTTGTGCATAAATGGCTGTTATGTTAAATAAAGTTGACTAACTACAGCAAATCAAGTACCTGCACGCCAGTGTTGTTGTCTCGTCTCCCCTCAGACGCGCTGCAATGGTGGTCCTGTGCACAATTCTCGAAACACCCACAAAATGGCAGCGTTTATCAGTGAATCCGATATTACAAAACCGATATTCGATTATGGTAAAATGGTTAAATATCGGGGAAAATATCGGTAAATCGATATATCGGTCGATCTCTACTGTGAATTAAACTTGGTTCTCGCGAGACTAGCATATTCTCCTCGGAGGTTACGCTACGCCTATGTCATCCACTGGAACGCCACTCTCTCATGAATGTGTGTACGACAGTTAGCGGACGCTAGAGATTTCAGTTTATAAAGTTTTAAAGGGGTCATATGATGCAATTTCAAGTTTTCCTTTCTCTTTGGAGTGTTACAAGCTGATTGTGCATAGATAAGATCCCTGAAGTTGCAAAGACTAAAGTCTCAAAACCAAAGAGATATTCTTGATCAAAGTTAAGACTCTGCCACGCCCCCCTAAAACGGCTCATTCTAACACGCCCCCACATATCTACCTCACTATGTGGGGGCGTGTTTAGAACGAGCCGTTTTAGGGGGGCGTGGCAGAGTCTTAACTTTGATCAAGAATATCTCTTTGGTTTTGAGACTTTAGTCTTTGCAACTTCAGAAATATTTGCATAATGCCGCCCAAATGTAAACGCAAAGAAAGAAGGCGTAGTTTCAGTAACCGCAGTTAGTGTTGAAGCAGCCATGTCAGGGAGACGCTGTGTTTCTAGGCGAAAGCAAAAGCACTTTATTTGGTCTTCCGAATAAATATGCAAGTAGATGCATTTAGGAATCTTTAAGATCACTTACAACAGAACAGCAATCATTCAAAGCGCGCACAGAGAGCCGTGTTTCAGACAATGCGCGTACACAGAATTGATTCCTCTTTCGCATATCCTTGCATCTGAATGAACACACACAAAATTATCTCAAAATAACCGTCTCTGCAAGTATTCTCGTAAACGCAGTCGGTTATGTCTTAAGCAGGGGCGTAAATTTCGTCTAACAGTAGGGGGTACAATAAACATAAAATTTCTCAAGAGCAATATTTGAAGGGGACACAAGGCGTAGCATATTTTCTTAGCGATAGATGCTATTTACACTAAGTGCAAATAG